AAGAAAACTGGCCGAGTGCTGTCATTAGAGCCCAAGAGGTTTCCAAAAAAGACCAAATGGTTCCGATATTGCTGATGTCAAGCTGGATCAGGACTGAGACATTACACTGACTTTAGTCACATGTCATTAGTTATTAACAAAACCAGATTTTGAAGGGGTGGGAAAAATATGTAATATAAGCAATAAACACAATTATTTAAAACTTTCAATAATTTTGGATATACTATGAAGTAAAAGTTAGATAGGTAGGGGGGTAATGGGGGATGAGAGTTATTTTAGAAAGACACTGCTTAATTTAATTTATTTAAAAAATATATTTTATTGATTTTTTACAGAGAGGAAGGGAGAGGGATACAGAGTTAGAAACATCAATCAGTTGCCTCCTGCACCCCCTCCCCCCCACTGGGTATGTGCCTGTAACTAAGGTACATGCTCTTGACCAGAATCGAACCTAGGACCTTTCAGGTTGCAGGCTGATGCTCTGTCCACTGAGCCAAACAGGTTAGGACTGCTTAATTTTATTTAATTAATTAATTTATTTATTTATTTAAATATATTTTATTGATTTTTTACAGAGAGGAGGAGAGAGGAATAGAGAGCTAGAAACGTCGATGAGAGAGAAACATCGAGCAGCTGCCTCTTGCACACCCCCTACCGGTGATGTGCCCACAACCAATGTACATGCCCCTGACCGGAATCGAACCTGGGACCTTTCAGTCCGCAGACCTACGCTCTACCATTGAGCCAAAGTGGTTTCGGCTTATTTTATTTTTAAAAAATATATATTTTATTGATTTTTTAGAGAGGAAGGGAGAGAGATAGAGAATTAGAGACATTGATGAGAGAGAAACATCAATCATCTGCCTCCTGCACATCTCCTAGTGGGGATGTGCCCACAAGCAAGGTACATGCCCTTGACAGGAATTGAACCTGGGACATTTCAGTCCGAAGGCTGATGCTCCATCTACTGAGCCAAACCAATTAGGGATCATCACTGATGTTTCTATCTCTCCCTCTCCCTTCCTCTCTGAAATCAATAAAAATATATTAAACATTAAAAAAAAATAAAAACAATAAAAATACATTTAAAAAAAATTGAATAATATAGAAGCAATTATTTTGCTTCATTTCCCACTTCCAGTAATGCATTATTTTAATCTTTTGGCTGATGTTTTGATAGGACTAAATATACTTTTCTGCTATTCTTTGATTTTTCACTTTTGGATTTACTTTATTATCTAGGTGTATATTCTCTTTTTTAAAAAATATGTTTTTGTTGATTTGAGAGAGAGGAAGGGAAAGGGAGACAGAAACACTGATCAACTGCCTCCTGCCCACCCCTTAGTAGGGATGGAGCCTGAGAGCTGAGTATGTGCCCTGATTGGGAACCGTGACCTCCTGGTTCATAGGTCAATGCTCAACCTCTGAACCACACTGGCTAGGCCTGGCTGGACCTCATTTCCAGGTCTGAACACATAACTTGAAGAAGCACAGTAGCTCCAAAGCCCATGCGCTTTTACACTGGCTCCTCAGAGTCTCTTCTCAATCTTGATTTCCGCCACATCTCAAGGCCTAGCAGCCAAGGCCCAGATTCTGCAACAATATAACCAATGTTCAAAGCCCAACTCTTCTACACACCTGCTGTGACCTCAGGAAAGTCACTGACCCTTTGTGTTCAGGTTCCCTCTCTATAAAATGAGGATAATACTTCCTACCCCATAGGGTTATTTCAAGGATTACAAGTTGTCTAGCAATGGTATTCTATTAGAATTGTTCTTATTACTAACGAGACCTCTTTTAGTTCTTCCTATTTCAGCCCTCAGACCTAGGACATAGTCCCTCCTATCATATCCACTTATTTTAGTAATTTACTACTCATTAAATCTTAGTCACTCTATATGCATGACTTCCAGATTTTTATATTTAGTCTTGATCTTTCAAAACATTAATAATTAAGACTTTGAATACTAGCACTGTCCAACAAAACTTTCTGCAATAGCCCAGCCAGTATAGCTCAGTGGTTGAGTGCTGACCCCTTAACCAAGAGATTACAGGTTCAATTCCCAGTCAAGGCACATATCCAGGTTGAGAGCTCAATCCCAAGTAGGGAGCATACAGGAGGCAGCTAATCAATGTTTCTCTCTCACTGATGCTTCTCTCTATCTCTCTCCCTTCTTCTCTCTCTAAAAAAATTTTTTAAAAATCAATAAAAACATATTTAAAAACCCTACAACTTTCTGCAACAATGGAAATTTGTGCTAATAGGGTAATCACTAGTCACATATGGCTACTGAACACTTGAAATGTGGCTATTATGATTGAGAAGCTGAATTTTAAATTTTATTTAATTTTAATTAACTTAAATAACAAGCACTTACTGTATTAAAGTGTTAGTTTAGGCATTGGATAAAGGACAAGAGTAGGGCACTGAAGGCTTTTAAGAGAAAGAACACGGGCAGCAGGACAGGGGCTGGATTGGAGGATCCATGACAGAAACCCAGGTTGGTGCCAATCACATAGATAGAATAAATGGGACTTACATGTTATTGGTAGAATTTGTTGCACTTTGTGACTATTTCAATGTATGGATTTTTATTTTTTAGGCTAGTCAAGTGAAGCAGTAGGAGTGGAGAAGGAACAAAGAAATCTGGAACTGGCTGTGATCAATTAGTTGTAAGACACCACTGCACTCGGACCAGCCTCAATGTAGGGAATATTAAGTGAGGAGAGTCAACTGAAGTTTGTAGCTTGGAGGATGTCACCATTGAGATAGGATTAGGTTTATTTTTTTAAAATATATTTTATTGATTTTTTACAGAGAGAAAGAGAGAAGGATAGAGAGCTAGAAACATTGATGAGAGAGAGACGTCGATCAGTTGCCTACTGCACACCCCCTACTGGGGATGTGCCTGCAACCAATGTATATGCCCTTGACTGGAATTGAACCTGGACCTTTCAGTCCGCAGACCAACGCTCAATCCGCTGAGCCAAACCAGTTTTGGCAGGATTAGATTTAGAATGAGGGTAATGAGTTTGTATTTGGGATATGTTGAATTTGCGATGTCTAAAAAATACCTGGGGAATATGACTATATAACAGGAAAAACCTTCATCTGGAACTGTGGAGGTGGGGCTACCAATATTTTTGGAGGTTATTACTATACTAGTGACCTGGTGCATGAAATTCGTGCACATTAAAAGGGAATTAATTAGAGGAAATATTTTAATATTGCTATTTGCCCTTTCACTATAATAGAAGTGTCAGAGATGAAAGAAAATTAGTAAAATATAAATGAAAATCTTCTTCCTGTCAGAGTCTGGGGCACACTATGGGAACCAGAGTCAAATCCCTGCTCACCCATGTTCACCCCGAAATCATGCGAGACCTGGACCCAGCCAGCTCCACCCATGTCAAGCCCCACTGGGTAGGGGGCACGACTTCAGGTCACCTGGCCCGGTGCCAGGGCAGGGAGTGTGGCCTGAGGTCTCCCGGCCCAGTTCAGGGGGCATGACTTAAGGTCCCTGCCAAGCCCTGCATGGCAGGAGGTGTGGCCTCAGGCCCCGCGCCGTGGTGCTGGGGGAGGGGGTGCAGTCTGAGGTCCCCCATCAAGCCCCGCTGGGCAGGAGGCACGGCCTGAAGTCCCTTGTGAAGCCCCACCGGGCAGGGGGTGCGGTCTCAGGCTCCATGGCCGGGCACCGGGACATGGGGCGCGGCCTGAGGTACCCTGTGAGGCTCCGCTGGATGGGGGACGCAGCCTGAGGTCCCTGGCCTAGCACTGGGATGGGGGCGTGGCCTGAAGTCCCCGTCAAGCCCCACCAGCCAGGGGAGGCAGCCTCAGGTCCCTGCTGATTGCTCGTTAAGGCTCGTTACAGGAACTCGGCCTCCGCTGTGGGCACCGCCATCTTGTTATGGAATGACAATTTGCGTATTCCATCTTTATTAGATAGGATGGGTAGTTGTTAAAGGAATGGAAATGGAGGAACTCACGCAGGAAAAATGTCAGATGACAGGGCAGAACCGTCAGTGTGGTCTTTGCTTACATCAGAATCATCTGGGATGTTTGTTAAAAGAGATTCCTCATTGTGAATGTATTTAATGCCATGGAACTGTGCACTTAAAATGGTTAAAATGATAAATATGTATATCGTATCACAACTTTAAAAATGCAAAAAGCAAAACAAAGCATTCCAGACCCAAATCACTATGTTTTTGAAGATGAGTCCTGGAATCACCAAGTAAAAGTTCAAAATTAAAAGTTGAACCAAATGCCTAAGGGGCAGTAAAAAACTAAGAGAGAGAAGAGAATAAAAGAAGGTGGAGAAACCAAGGGAGAGCAAGAGGTTCAAGAAGAGCTCAATATTGTTCACTGGTGTCACTGCCCAGGAGGAAGACTGAAAAGAGGCTCCAGATTTGGTATTCAGGTGGCTATTGATGAACTGGGGTCCCTCAGCCCGACCTGCACCCTCTCCAATCCGGGAGCCCTCAGGGGCTGTCCTCTGCAGAAGGCGACCAGGCTGATCAGAGCTGAAGGCACCCCCCGCCCCATCACCCTGCTGCTGTGTAACCGGGAACACAGACCCTGCTAATGCCTTGGGCTCAGCTGACAACTTAAAGAACGTCCATGTGCCTTCCCAGGAGGCCCCCTACAATATACAACCTCATTTCATTTATACCAGTTGGATTTTGGGTTCATAATTTAAATCTTTTATTTATATATTTATTAATTTATTGGATGACATTAATAAAAAATATATAGGTTTCAGGTGTATAATTCTATAACACATCATTTATATATTGTACTAAAAGCCTGGTGCCAAGCACTGGTGGGGTACCTCAGCCTGGCCTGCACCCTCTCGCAACCTGGAGCCCCTTGGGGGATGTCGGAGCTGGTTTCGGCCTGATCCCTGCAGGCCAGGCTGAGGGACCTTCGTGCACTGGGCCTCTAGTATGCATACAGGATCCCTGGTTTATTTCTTCCCACCTTCCCCCCTCCCCCTTGAGATTTATAAATCAGTTCCATGTTTCCATGCCAGTGATTTCTGTTCCTGCTTTGAGAGTCTGCCCCCTGGTGGTCAGTGCACATCATAGCTACTGGCCAGTTGACTGGTTTAGATTCTTTTATATATCCACACTAATAAAAGAGTAAGATGCAAATTGACCGTATCTTCACTATGCCCACCAATCAGGAGTATGCAAATTAACTCAATAAAGATGGTGGGTTAATTTGCATATTTAAGCACCAATTGCCCCAGCTGCTCTGGGCCTTTGGGCAGCATGGGAAGGCCGAAAGGCACCTCCAGGCTGGAGTGAAAAGGCGGCTCTGGCCAGACCGAAGGCGGCAGCCAGGGGAAGAAAGGCCCATTCTTGCACGAATCTTTGTGCATCCAGCCTTTAGTCTATAAAGGTAGATAAGAAAGCTCTGCTTTTACCCACTCTATATAGACTAGAGGCCAGGTGCATGAAATTCGTGCACAGGTAGGGTCCCTAGTGGCTGCCAGCTGCTGGTAGGGGCCTTCCTTCCCCCAGCTGCCTGCCACTGCCACCAGCCGGGGCCTCCCTTTGCACCTGCCTTGACCTGGCACGGCCTACTCACCTGCTCCACCACCCCACAACAGTCCCGCTCTCATTGGGCCCATTGGAGCTGGCAGTGACTCCACTGTCACCTGCTTCCAGCACTCCTGGTGGTCTGTGCACATCTAACTCCCTATCAGTCAAACTCCCACCTGTGGGGACAATTTGCATATTAACCTTTTATTATATAGGATTGTATGTTCACCTCCTGAAGTCAAGTTTCCTGCTGTTTATTCACTTCTACATCTCTCTCAATAATTTAGATATTTTAAATATCTTTTAAATGACAGCCAATCCATCTTGCTTAGTGTCTGTAGCCTGGTCATGTTGGGAATTAAGACCTGCTCTGGAATATAAGAGATTTTTTCCTATTTATGCTCACTTTTAGCCAGGCCAGTGACTCTTTTTTCAAATTGTATAATGAGGTTTTGCCTGAAGGATGAGTAAAGTCATTAAGAGGCCAGATCAGAATCAAGGGGCCCAGGAAACTGATGCATTCTAAGGCTAGCCTGGTTTTTATAAATAACCAAAAGCAGCTCCTTCCATATCCCAGAAACAGGATCATTTTCTCTAGGTCAGTCAGCCCAGCCCACTGCTCCACAAATGCATTCTCCTTCAGAATCATCCTGGACAATGGGGAACAGATACTGATTTTTTCAATGGTATCTTGAACATTTTGCCAAAAGCTTCTGCCAGGTTTTGAAGCGGCCTGTTAAGGAGAGTGGACTTAATTCTCAGAATAAAAGCCTTCCCGTATCTCTTCACCCTATCATCTTACTATCTCAAGGATCTTAACCTGTTCCCTTCGTTTCCTTCTATCAGTAATTCAGGAATTGGATGAGTCTCTGTGGTTTGTTTTGCCTTGAAGAGCAGAAGGCTTCGGTCCCAGCTGGTGTTGCCAAAGCAGCATACTAATTCCATGCCATGGTCCTGGGTCAAGATCTGTACAATCTGACTGGCCATATCACCTCGGATGGCAAGGGAATGGAAGTGGTCAAAATCGTGGAGGCCCAACTTTCGAAGACGCCTTGCAGCTGCCCGATAACATTTCCAGGGCTGTGGCTCCACAAGGAGGTAGTGGCAGAGGGAGGAGAGGTGGGCCAGAAACTCCCACAGGCCACGGTCCCCATGGTTCAGATGAATCCACATGGTTATGGACATGCAGAAGCCAATGTCAAAAACCGAGCGCCCAAACTGGCTTAAGAAAGAGCTCAAGAGAACTTTCCGGCTCCTTTGATTCATGAAGTCCAGGGTAATAAAAGTCAAGGCATCAGGAAAAGGGCATTCTTTTTCAGCTCGCTCCACCAGGACTGGATCTATGTCGCAGCAGAGAAGACGGAGTTCTCTTGAGGCATCTGAGTGGGTCTCCCCATCGCGCAGGAAAAGGAAGTGTTTGTACAGAGCCACACTTAGATCCTAGAGGAATCCAAAAGAGCTTTGTCATTGCAGCTTTCAACCAGTGAACAGAAGAGAAACTTATTTCTTTCATTTATTGTTGACAGTATTACAGATGTATAAATTCTTTATCTTTTAAATATTTCCCCCATCACTATTTATCCCTCCATACTCTCTTCTATCCCCACTTCTCCCACAACTGCCACACTTGTCCACGAGTTCTTTCTTTGTAAAATTTTATCCTCTTATCTATTGAGACTGCCACCTACTCCAGGTTTTAGAGGGTGTGAGGCTCTGCTATAGCCTAAGGAGCCCGCCTGTCGTTTCCACAGAGTATGCTCTGAGAACCCTCCAGGGGTGAGAGGCTGTACTGAATCATCCCTATGCTTTCCTCACTGATGGCAGACTGGATAGTATGATTGAAAGTTACAGCATAATAGATGCAGAAAAAAATAGAGCAGTATTTTCCAGCTTAATATGCTGGTAAGTTCCCAATCTTTTTCTTTTTTTCTTTTAGGTATCTCAGGCTTCTGGGAAAGGAAAGGATTCCAGGGGCATCACTGGTGTTCTTACCAGGAAGATGAGGAATAAGCAAACACCGTCTTGTAAAAACCTGCTTCTCAAACCTGTTATTAGGAAAGTGGATCCCCAAAAATCTTCATCTAGCCTTCACTCTACAGTTTGTTTCACTACCAGTCCTATGCTTCACCACCCTTCTGAGACTTATTCTGCTTCTGCCTCCATCACTCCCAAAAGTCATTGCTGACCTCCTTCTTCAGGGGTTGTTGATTTTCACCTTCTTAGCACTTTTTTTTTTTTTTTTTTTTTTACTCTTAAACAAGTCACTATCCCTTTCTCTAACTTTGACTTCTATAACCATTATTACTAACAAATGTGTTGTTTTATACATTTTTTTTTCTTGGCATTTTCCTATTCATGGCCTCATTTGCTCTATGCAATAATCCTGTGAGAAAATACTTATGCCTTTTGTGCAGGTGCAGAAAGCATGGCTGGAAACAAACCAGATGTCTTATAATAGTACATGAATAAATAAATATGATGTAGACATTAAGAGGGGATACTAAGTAGCAGTTGAAAATGAAGGAATTTAGGTAAGTGCAGTAATATGAATTACTCTCACAAATATATAATACTGAGTAAAAGAAAAAGGCATAAAAGAAAATACATAATAAGCTCCCATTTATTTGAAGTTTAGAAACTGATAAAATTAAACTTCATTGTTTAGGGACACAAAGCCAAAAAGAAACAATAAAAGTCAGACTAGTTCTTACCTCTGTGTAGAGAGAGGGGGTTATGAATAGGAAAAGACATATGGGGGACCTGTGGGCTACTGAAAATATTCTTGTTCTGGAAAGTCACACACACACAAAACAAACAAACAAAAAAACCCATCAACAATACCGTATTTTAAAAATTATGGTTCAGAGGCTGGTGACTTTACTTGTCCAATGTCACACAGCAAGAGTCAGGCTACATTAGATTATTTCTTCTACATCAGGCTTCCCACTCTTCAATGTGCATACTCATAATTTAGGGATCTTGTTAAAATAAAAACTGGCTTAGCAAATTGGAGTTGAAGCTGAGATTATTTCTAATAATCTAACTTCTAAATCATGCGGATGCTGTAGTTCAAAGAACACATTTTGAGTAGGAAGGTTCTATATTATGCTACTTAATTTCCTCCCCATCTATTTATTTCTTCCCTGTCTCCCTGCTCCTATCTGATCTTGGGTGTGCCCATGCATGACCAGTCATTTTGTCACATCAGTCCCTCCTCCACCACCTCTCTTCATTCTCTCCATCCTCAATTCTCCAGTCCTAGAGTCCCCTGGAAGCTTAAAAAAAGAAAATACAGACTCAAGGGCTTAATATCCCATAGATCTAGAGTGGGGGTCTAGGAGTTTTAAAATTTAAACAAAGCACCCCATAAATTATGGCACATCTGCACAACAAAATATTATGAAGCTGCTGAAAAGAATGAAGTGACATATGATTGATCTTCAAATTATTAAATGAAAAGCAAGGTGCAATACAACATACAGATGATGTATTATAGAATTGTACACCTGAATCCTATATAATTTTATTAACCAATGTTACCCCAATAAATTCAATAAAAAAGAAAGAAAAAAAAACCAAAAAACAAACAACAACCAAGGTGTAAATTAGTGTCTATTATTTGTAATTCTAAAAAAGGGAAGATATTTATACTTGTACACACACAGGATATATACCCAAGAAATTATAGCAGTTGCCACTGTATAGGGGGAAGGGATTTAAGGTCAATAGAGACTTACTCCCTAAATGTACAACCAGGGTTGGGAACTACTACCCTCTTTCACTGCAACTATGTCCTTGCCTGTAATATGTACATATACTGAGAGATTATTATGATCTCTGAATGCATAATAATCTGGTCACTCTGTGTGTGTGTGTGTGTGTGTGTGTGTGTGTGTGTGTGTGTCCGTCCGTCCCCTGGTGCATGAATTCATGCATGGGTGGGGTCTGGCCAGCATGGCCAGGGAGAGGAGACACAGGGGTTGGCCGGCCTGCTTGCTGGTCGAACCCCATTTGGATATTAGCTGTTTATTATAAGGATATACACTGAGTGGCCAGATTATTATGCATTCAGAGATCATAATAATCTGGCCACTCAGTGTATACACCCTGTAAACTTTAAAATCTCCTGTGGTTTACTAATGCCTTTCATGAAACCCCAAGCCTTAAACCTAGTCTCTTCCATTGCTTTCCCCCTGTGACTTCCTATATCATTATAGTGGAGAAATATTTGCAGGGGACACACAGACACTCATTTGCTCATTCCAGCTTCCAGTCTGTATCCAAATGTCCCCCTCTCCTTGATCAGTTGTGTCTCTATAGCCTTCAACCTTCCACCAAAATCTCTTCTGACGATGACCAGCAACACAATAAAATTCTCCGCACCCTCTCCCACTCCTGGAGGCGGAGTGAGGGCATTACCTTGTAAAGTATTTGGTGTCAGAGAGACATTTCGCTATTTTATATGTGGTTTTACTATAACCATTATACACCTAAGAATGCTTTTCGGTAAGAAAACATGGCAATGCCATCCTTCAGGAGGCTGCTGTATTTTTACTTCTCGATCCTCTACACTGTTTACTCTGTAAACCCAGTGCTTTTAAAATAAATATCAACATGACTTCAGGTTCCGTTCTGCACTGTAAGCCACAAGAATCTTAAATCCAGGCACGATTCTGTCGCCTCTAGCTTATCTCTTCCAGTAAACACATGCCAACCCCAGCTTCCAAACCGAGGTCTCCGGAAGCCCCCTTTCCCCAGCCAAGTCGCCACCCACGCTGGACAGAAGGCAAGCGCCAGGAGCCCAGACACGGTGGCTCTTCCCACCGGAGTCTGGCCTACAGGTGGCGAACGCGGAGGCGGGACGCGAGAATTCGGAACGTGGCTGAGAAAAAATCCGCCAGGAGGGTCCTAAGAGGTTGTGGGGCCTTGAAGGGCAGCTGGGAGCAGCACGGGGTAGATCCACGTAGCGTCTATGCCTTTAACCATACAGGCCAGAATCCCAGCGGGCCTGGGGGCAACCAACCGCTGGCCTGCCGACTCCGACCCTCCCCTGTCACTCACCCCGGAGTTACACCCCACGTCCAGCCCCAGAATGGGCTTCTTCTCGGGCCCCTGAGGGAAGAGCCGGCCGAGCAGCTCCGGAGGCAGGAGGCGGAGCCGCTGCTCTGGGGAGTGGAAGCGGGAATAATGAGGGAAGTTTCCGAACGGGGCGGCCCCGGGTTCCAGAACTCGCGGTTCCTCTTCCGCCTTGGCCTCCTCTGCGCCTCCTGGGTTCTGTTCCGTGGGCGCCGCCATTTTTCTCAGTCTGTTCCTCCGTCCGGCGGAACCGGAAGCCGGGACCCGCGGCCGCGGCCAGTGCGCCTGCGCTGAACGGCCAGGCGAGCGGGGACGAAGGCGGCGTCGCCGGGCCACCGCGGACACCGGTTTGCTTGGCCTTACGGAGCCCTCCCCTAACCTGGGGAGTGGTTGGTAACGGCACCCCATTGTCCAGATGAGGAAACGAGCAGAGAGGGTGTGGTCTCCCCAAGAGAACAGTTTCAACGTGGACTATCAAACGAGGAGTTTGTTGGGACCTTGGGAATCCATTTTGGTCCAACTTCCTTCCTTTACAAATGTATAACGTGAGACCCAGGGAGTGGAATTATCCAGGGTCACGCAGCGAAACTGTGACACAGGAATCTGCACCCGGTTTGTCCGATGATGCTAGAAAAGGGTAGTCAGGAGCCATGTGCCACTGGTGCCAAAAGACCCATGTGGCCCAGCCTGCAGAGGTGGGACAGGTGGACGGGGCGAGTGTAACTGAGCTTCTTGAGAGACAAGGACTAGGCCTGAAGAGCCAGCACTAAGAGTGTTTACCAAGTATCAGACACTTTTCTAAGCTCTTCACATGAGTTAACTCCTTTAGTCCTCATACAAACTGTGGGGGAAAGAACAACAAATATTAGTATCCCTTTTATGTGGATAAGTCATTGGGGCACAAGGAAATAACTTGCTTAAGGTCACACAGTTAGAAATGGTAGTATCAGCATTTGAACCCAGGCAGTTTGGCTCCAGAGAGTGTGCATGCAACCATTATGTTCTTCACATTGAATCCTCTATGCGTTAGCATAATGCTTGGGCCAAAGATGCTCAATAAAAATTTGAATGAAAACTCAATATCAACAAATGCTGCAGGGAAAGTTGGCTATTCATATGTAAAAGTATGAAACTAGGCCCTTATCTTACACAAAAATTAACTCAAAATGAATTACCAACTTAATCATGAGACCTGAAACTGGAAAAAACAAAAAAAATAGGGAAAGCCCTCATGACATTGATCTTGGCAATGATTTCATGTATAAGAAAACAAAAGCAAAAATAGTTAAGTGAGACTATATCAAGCTAAAAAAGCTTATGCACAGCAAAGGAAACCATGGAGAGAGTAAAAAGGCAACCTACAGAATGGGAGAATATATTTTCAAACCATGTATCTGCAAAGGATTAATTTCCGTAATATATAAAGAACTCCTATAATGCAATAGCAACCCTCCCCCCCATAACCTGATTTTAAAATGGTCAAAGAACTTGAATTCACATTTCTCCAAATGAAGATATACAAACGGACAACAGGTATATAAAACAATGCTCCATGTCACTAGTCACCAGGGAAATGCAAATAAAAACCACAACAAAATATCACTTCACATTTGTTAAGCTGGCTCTTATAAAAACAACAAAAGACAAGTGTTGGCAGGACGTGGAGCATTGGAACCCTGTATGCTATTGGTGGGAATGTAAAATGGTGCAGCTTCTATAGAAAACACTATGGAGGTTTCTCAAAAAATTAAAAATAGAGCTACCATATGACCCAGCAATCCCATTTTAAAAAATTTATCCAAAAGAATTGAAATCAGGATCTTAAAGAAACATTAGCACTCCCATGCTCATTGCACTGTTATTCAAAATTAGCCAATATGTGGAAACAAATGTCCATCAACAGATGATAGATTTATATATCTCTGTGTGTGTGTGTATGAATATTATTCATCTTAAAAAGAAAGAAGTAAATTAGAATTAAAGAATAGAATGGTAGTTGCCAGCCACTGGGGGAGAGGGAAAGGAGGAATTGTTAATCAATGGGTATAAATTTCAGGTATGCAAGATGAAATTTGCATAAGTTTTATAGATCTGTACAGCATTATGCCTATAGATAACTATACTGTACTGCATATTTAAAAATACGTTAAGAGGGCAGATCTTATTTTAAGTGTTCTTATCACAATTAAATTTTTTTTTTTTTTTTTAGAAAAAGCAAACTCAATAAAGGATTCAAGGGATTAACTTTCCTGGTGACTAAAGCCAGATCAGTTTTGCAAAAACAAGAATGGAAATGGAAGAGAGAAAGGAACCAAACTGAAACAGACATGATGGAATGGAGCTAGACAGAATGTGACTGAGCCAGAGACAGGAAAAAACAGAGCTGATGAGGAGAGAAACTAAGGGGTCAGTCTAGGTAGCAGGTTCAAATCAGAAGCCAGAATGGCCCAGACTATCCAACTGGGTCAGCCAGGGTTTGGCAAGGTGTGCTGACCTCTCCACATCTGGCCAGCTGTCTTAAAGAGGCCAGTGGTTTGCTGAACTTTCAAGGGACTGAAACATGAACCCTGCAGACAATGCCATCAGGGTAAAAACAGGCCTTGTATCTTTTCCTCTCAATTTTTACTTCATACTTTCATCTCTGCCTGATCTATTTGGGGACATAAGTTAATGACCAAAAGTCACAGTGGAACTGAATAAACAACAGTACTCTGCACAAGAAAAAGGGGTATGAATAATTCCTGTTCCCAGTGTTTGACAGATTATGGCAAGCTGAGCTTACCCCTTTGATGACGCTAACACAAACACTTGACAGCCCTTAATTTTCAAGGAGCTAGAATCACCTTGCTTTAGTAAACACTGTTTTTGTTTGCTTGTTTAAACACATTGTATATATAATTACACACATTACACACTCACAATTTGCCAGGAAAGAGTTTAATTTCCTTAAGGATTAAGGACATGGGCAAGTTTTTGAATTCTTAAAACACTTCGTCAGAAGAAAAAAAAAAAAAGGCACCAGGTCTACATGGTAAAAGGCAGGCTCCTCCTGTCCTGGGTCTTCGAGAAGCAAAGACAGGGGCGGGCCTAAAATGCCCCGGAGGTGAGCCCATGAAGAAGCATGTTAGCTTGACCCAGTCTGGTGACTTTTTAAACTTTTATCCATTTTTCAGAGCCTGATTGGTCCAGATGACCTGACCATACTCAGCTCCTGGTCCTGGGACCTGAGTGACCACACCCAACACCTCAAGTAGCTGTAGCAGCACCTAAGAGTACACTCTGCACTGCAGTTGGCCAAGGTTTGTGGAGCCCAGTGCTTATATAATTGTAGGGGTGGGATGTTTAAAAAAACAAACAAAAAAACAAATATAAAGATACATGTCAAAGTGAATAGTATTTATCTATAATAATAAAAGGATAATATGCTAATTAGACCAGACATCATTCCAGACGTCCTTTCTGACAAAGCTGGGGCTAGAGAGAAGCCAGCCCGGGTCTCCGGTGCCAGAGAGAAGCCAGTGCCGGCAGCCGGGGGAAGGAAGGCCTACTCTTGCATGAATTTTCGTGCATCAGGCCTCTAGTTTACAATAAGAACATAAATCCCAACTAATTACACATTTTAAAAAGCTGACACAGCTGAAACTGATTTGGCTCAGAGCATCGGTCTGTGGACTGAAAGTTCCCAGGTTTGATTCCAGTCAAGGGCATGTACCTTGGTTGCAGGCACATCCCCAGTGGGGAGTGTGCAAGAGGCAGCTGATCAATGATTCTCTCTCATCGATGTTTCTAATTCTCTATCCCTCTCTCTTCTTCTGTGTAAAAAATCAATAAAATATATTTTAAAAAATAAAAAATAGCTGACACTACCACAAACATTACAAAAAAAGTCTCTTAATGGTTTGATGAATTAAATGCCAATCACACCTGAATATTACTTATTTTTTAAAATTCTTAATTGAGAATATGTTTATTGATTTGAGAAAGAGAGGGATATATATATATATATATATATATATATATATAGAGAGAGAGAGAGAGAGAGAGAGAGAGAGAGAGAAACATTGATTTGTTGCCTCCCATACACATCCAATTGGGGATGGAACCTGCAACCTAGGAATGTGCCCTGACCAGGAATCGAACTCACAACCTTTTTTGGTGTCTGGGTTGGTTGATGCTCCAACTAACGGAGTCACCCAGTCAAGACTGAATGTCACTTTTGTCCCTACATTTTTGGCTTTTTATTCTTTGATTCCTTCTTTATATGACAATAATTTGATAGTACTTCTTTACAGAAAGGACTACAAAGATAATTCAGTCTTTTCTTAGCATCAAATTTCTTTTATTTTTTTGGAAAGTTTTTTTCAAGTTCACAATTTGTTTTTGGCAATATCATGTAAACATTTAGGTTTGTTATCAAATTGGGGGGAAATTTCTTTCATCTATGAGCTATAAGATTCCAAAGCGTCTCAAATCTTTTTGTGCAGTGACCGAGCTTAGATGTACTCTTTTGTTGTTGTTGTTGTTAATCCTCACCTGAGGATATTTTTCCATCGATTTTTAGAGAGAGAGTGGAAGACAAAGAGAAATATTGATGTGATAGGAACACGTGGATTGGTTGCCTCCTGCAGGAGCCCTGACCAGGGCCGAGCCGGGGAGGAGCCCTTGACCAGAATTGAATCCAGGACCCTTTGGTCTTCAGGACAACCCTCTCCACTGAGACAAGCTGACTATGACTAGATGTACTCTTTGTGTGTGCTTTTTTTAATTTTATTTTTTTATTAAATCATTATCTGTGTACATATTTTACCATTGCCCACCCCTCCCATACATACCCACCCTCCCCAGAGTTTTGTGTCCATTTAGATGTACTCTTTGAATTGACTACTTTACTAGCCAATTTGTCTTTGAAAACCTCATTATAAGTGATGTACTCTGAGTTTTAATTATATTGGTCAATATCAGTAATGTATGTCATTATCACAAATTGTAAAAGATTGTAATTCTGATAAATTGTATTTTGAACAGTTCTCATAAAAAAGGAAAAGAATGAATGATACATTTATAATGATATGTACTGAGTATATTGCCAACAGGACAAAACTTCTTTGGATTGGATGTCAATAAGGACAGAAACCTCAGCTTATATTTTTGCATAGCTGATGACTGGATGAGTTTTCTTCCAACTAGCTTCTGGCTTTATACATTTTTTTTTTAAATTAAAGAACATTTATTTGTTTTTTTCTAAGACTTTATCTTAGCACATAATTAAA